ATCGTCTCTGCACAGCTTCAATACGGTCAATATGACGCTGATGATAAGGAGACCAGACTACAGAAGCGTATTCTAGTTTGGATCGCACAAAGGCCATATACAATACGTTTATAGTAGACGCATTCTCAAATTCGCGACTACATCGAACTATGTCTTGTAAGCCGAGTTAACAGGTCGATCAATGTGACAGTTAAACGTCAGTTTCTCATCAAATGTCATCCCGCCCGAGGACTGCAAAAGTTTCTGGTCGACTAAGGGAGGTGCCACCAAGAGAATAATTAAACATAAATAGTTTTTGTTTTAAGCCAAAGGTCATAACATTGCATTTGATGGGGTCTAAGGGCAAGTTATTCTTTCGACACCATTATTCAAGATTGGTCAGATTCTTTGAGAGGATTTTGCAGTCATTTAAGTCTTTCACACTACTAGAAAACTTGAGGTCATCAGCACATAATTATTTGGTCGACCCACTAACATCAACATAATCCAAGCCTACATCAGATAAACCATACTAAGAAACTGAAGATTTCTACGAACAAAATTGACAAAGCCCAATGAAATAAACTTAATAATGGGAGATTTGAATGCCAAGGTTGGCAGAGAAAGAATAGAACCTGCAGTAGTAGGTTACGGTCTCGCGGTGAAAGAAAGGATAGGTACAGGGCAGAGGGTTAATTCCAAATTCTGAAGAGAAAGATATCATAATAACGAACACATGGTATAAAGTACATACCACCTAGACGGTCTTATACATGGACATCCGCACAGCATAATGATCAGCAAATCATAACCAAATAGATTACGTCACAATAAATAGAAGATTTAGGAACCTCATAATTCAGGTTACCAGTTCAATGGGCAACTAGCAGGTGTTATCGCTACAAATAACACAGAAAAACACCGATTCGAAATCAGAAAATCTTTTGAAAACGAATGTTATTATTTATACATCCTCCAAAGGACTAAAACAAGGACCAAAAATGAATGGATAATCGAGTAAATTCTGAAACTAATGGGAGAGAGGAGAAAGTGTAAAGTTCAATCAAGATGGATATGAATACAGTGAAAAGTTCGCAATGAAAGCAGAATGATAAAAGAGAAATGGCTAACTGAAACTAAAATAAATAGCTGCACTATACATTAGAAAGCCAATAAATTTCACAGACCCGCGAAGAACTATTGGAAATATGGAAGAAATATGCAACCAACCTTTTTGATGACAGCAGACCAGAAAGTCCACCACTTAAAGTGAAACGTACCCAGCTATCGGGACCAAAAATATAAGAAAGCGAAATCCTATATGCTATGAAAAAAATCAAATACAACAAGGCACCGGGACCTGATGGGCTGGAACTCTGTAACAAATAGACATCGTTATCCCTATCGCTATGGTACTTGCTGTCTTCTTCTCTTTTTTCGAAATCAAGAGAGTGGGGACTTTAATAGAGATAGAGAAAATTTCTCTATTCGTTACAGAGTCCCAGCACAGGTGACATGTATTCAGAGACGTTCCACTTGATCAACAAACAAAACCTGAAAACCAAAACCATAGTGCAGCTCTTTATATGACACTGGATATTTTTCCGAATACTGGGTCCGCTTTACTTTTATTATACTATCAAAATCAAATAACCCAAAAGCATGCAAGGATTATCGTATCCTTTGTCTCATGAGTCACATTCTGAAGCTCTACAAAAATAACGAAGATGATAGCGGAATTAGTCAGTTCGTGTTTAAGAGCGGTTTTGGAACCCTAGAAGCTATTTTCAGTCTGCAGACTTTTTTGCAAAATTGTTGAGATCAAAATAAAGGATGTTTATGCTAGGAGAAAGCATTTGACAATGTTAGACATAATCTCTTGATATAATTTCTTGGGGAATTAGGACTTGATGATAAATACATAAGACTTATCGGTAGTCTTTACTGGAATCAAAAAGCGGAAGTTCGGTAAGACAACTCAACAATAACAGACCAATTTGAAATAAAAAAGCAGTCAGACAAGTGTTGTGAACCAGTAAATTTATCATTTTATTAATAAAAATTATGTAGGTACATTATGTTCACTACATTTCCTCTCTTTCACAAATTCCACCATCTGTTCGGTTTAGTCCTCATCAATTAGGTAGGTACTATTTGACTATATTGCTTATTTAGGTTTTAAAGATGAGCCGGCTAGAATTATTATTACAATTAATGTCCTGTAAACACCAATATCCCAACAAGATGTTTCCATTTGTCGGTACTCGGTACCTCTATTGCAGGAATCCAAATTATTGTAAATAGACAAATAAATATAACCCATGGAGGGTGTTCTTGCCACCAAAAATAAAGTACTTTTCCCAAACCTAATTATATTATTCCAGATGGTGAGAATTGCCTTGAGAATTATAAACCTAGTTGTCCTTTGGGTTACATTTTAGATTTTAGAATTGGAGTAACCAGTCGCTTTGTAAAATTGATATCGAACAGTCGGGTTGTAGCAGTCGCACTTATGTAAAATCAGTTTCGTTCAGAATTAAACTAAGCTAAACCTTCAAGTAATTTCGAGTTTGGCTTTTTACTGTATTGAAATATCAGATAATAGGTACAAGGTCTAGAAATAATCCGAGATTACTACATTGGAACCAGCGGAAAGCTCCGGGTTCCTAACATAAGTGGCATCGGTCAACTCCGGTCCCTAACTAAAGTATGTATCTTGTCTCCAATGCTGTTCGATCCATATGCAGAAAGAGCGTTTTAACCACTTTTGGACAGTCCCATAGGCATTAAAGTGAACGGAATCCCTATCAATAATATCAGATATGCAGACGACACCGCAATATTAACAGACAATGCAGAAGATCTTGAGACATTACTGAATCAAATTAATGAAGCAGGCAAGACACTGGGCTTGAAAATTAAAACTGGCAAAACTAAGGTGATGATTGTGAGTAGAGACGTTCTTGGATAGGTACTTACCCAAATAGATATAGGTAGATGGAGAAAATATTGAATAGGTTATAGACTTTAAATATTTGGGAAGCATGCTGAATGAAAGATGGGATGAAGTATATAGAACAGGCAAGATCAATCTTCCTAAGACTGCGAAAATTTCTCATAGACAGCAATTTGGGCAGTAACCTCAGATACAGAAGGCTAAAATGTTATTTCTGGTCGGTCCTCCTATACGGAGTAGACACATGCACACTGATGGTAACCACCACAAACAAAGTAGAAGCTTTCGAAATGTGGACCTTGAGACGGATGCTTAGAGTACTTTGGGTCGATCAAATCACAAATGAAGAACGGGAACTCTTCGAAACCATAAAACTCAGAAAAATATCTTTATCTGAGATACATAATACGCGGAAAACGTTATTGTGTTCAGGGCCTTATTCTTCAATGCAAAATTGAAGGAGGACAAAGGACAATAAGAAGAAAGAAGCTATACTGGCTACGGAATGTGCGGCCGTGGACAGGAACACAGGACTTCCAGACACTAGAAATCGCTCCATTAATTAGGAATATTTCATAGGAAAAACGATGGACGCCTACGCAGAAATCTCTATGGCACTTTGAGAAAAAGACATCCAGCATAAAATCCTTGAAGACCTTGCAATATTTAGGGCCATGTTTGCACTAAGTAGAAAATGAAACACAAGAGACAAAGTACTTTTACATAAACAACTCTAGGTCAAAGAATGTTCTACAGATCATGGGCGTTCACCGGTTCACAATTGATCCAAAATCAAAAAAATCCAAACCTTCCAGATCATAATCCGAAGAAGAAGCACATGGGCTACAGAGCTTGGCAGTAATTGCCTTGAAAGTGCTCGAAAAAGTGCTTCAAGCACAATAGTGCTTCGAGCACAGTGCTTGCAAGCACTTTTAAAATACAGTGCTCGGTAATTGGTAATCGAAGCCCTCTATAAAAAGTGCTTGGTAATTGGTAATTGATTTTCACTTAAAGTGCTTGCAAGCACTCAAAAGAGCTTGCAAGCACTTTAAAGGCTTGCAAGCACTAAAAATCAAGTAACAACTTAACGCAGTATAAGCCAATGTAATTGGCTGGTTGAAGGCCGTCTCGGCGTCGGCAATATGGAAACATATGTGTTGTGTGTAGTGTTGTGTTAAGGTGTATGCTAACTGGCGATTGCCAGTGTAACTATACTACCACAGTTTATTATTCTTTATCTTAAGTTATAATAATGGTAATATTCAATGATACAGTGTAGTGTGTAGTGTATGCAGAGTGAAAAGACGAAGACTAGTAATAAATTAAGAACAAAAAACTTTGGTTTGATCATTTCATTATAACTATCATCACATCAACCAAACTTATTACGTTTGAAGTTGCTTTTTCCCCAGACCCCAATTCAGCAACATCTTTATTTTAAAAGAGAAAAAAGTGCTTGCAAGCACCTGCAAGTAATCAACAATGATTTCAAGCCCTTTTTGAGTAATTGGTGCTTGGTAATTGAATTGTGCAATTACTTTCCTTGGTAATTGGTAATTGCAAGCACTAAGAATTTTCAAAGTGCTTGGTGCTTGATGCTGGCAATTCCTTTTCCTAAAGGCTTGGTGCTTGGTGCTCCAAGCTTTGCCCAGCTCTGATGGGCTATATTTACTACTTTCTGGAACTAATTCCTTCAGTTTGTTGTTCGATGATACAGAAGTTAAGTAAGTATTTGAGTGCAATACACCCCATGCATCGCAAGGTGGAGGAATTAATGGAGTGATGACTGGAACTTTAAACGAACATGGTCCAAAAACCAGCAGTTGAGGTGAGACCTTCTTGCCTTCATTTTAATTTCAAATGAAATCAATCAACTTTGATCCCTTGGAAATTAACGGTTACGATTTCTCCGAACGTAAGTGTTGAGTGAGAAGTGTTCTTTTGAAATCAACTCGTAGGAGAATATTTATTCCACAACTCTTTTATACAAAATCAATTGAGACCGTGTAGACGTAGGTATCGTAGAAACTTTGTAAGCTCTCACAATAACCAAACTGGTTCTCACCTTTGTCTTGGAACCACCTATAGATCCAGGCCGGATACTGCCGGTCTCATAAAACCTGGTCAGAATCTTGGAAACGCACCCGTGCGACACCAGCAACTGACGCGAAATATCACAAGGTCGTACGCCCAACAGAGCCAATTCCACTATTCGTCTTCTGACGCAATCTGGAAGAGGTCTTCCGTTTACAAACACTCCGCCTAGTTGGTTCACTCCGGCCTGACCTGAAATAAAAAGAAGATTTTTGTTAATTTGAAATGACAAGCTTTATTCATAATAGATGTAGGCAGTTGGAAAACGCGAAAAGCTAATTAGAGCCCAAAAACAAGATTGAGATAATGGGGAATGGTAATTAAACCGTTTTAGGTGGACGTGTGAAATAAAAAGTTGAGTAGGTATCAATTATAGCTATGATTGTTATCTTAATTAAATGGGACAAATGTTGGGCTTTTTTAAGCTTATTTTTCATACCTACTTGAAACCTTTCATCGATATTTGAAAAAAGTAGCTTAACATGACTGATTGATCCTTTTATTTGTACTTATATCAGAAAGCAATACAAAGATGATAGCAGTTTGGAAAATTGTCAGTTTTCATGGTAGTTAGGGGGCTTGGAATAATTTGAAGATACGATTCAATAGATTTTGCATTAGGTACTAAATGATGATTCCACCTTACAATGCCCATTAGTGATTTCAATTAGTTCATTTCCTGCAACTTCATTTTTGGCTAACGTTGATGCAACCGTTTCTATGTCAAGACCGGTAATATTTCTTCCAAAATAAGCCATATTATTTTTAAACCAGTATTCACTGTTTCCCATAGTAGGATTTACCTACTGTTGGAAAAAAATCTCTCAACAAGTTATTTCTTATTCGTTCTAGAGAAAATTTGTGACATACTTAGACGAACAGCCGGGCAGATGCAAGATTTTTTTCTATTTTGAAGCAACCACTCAAATAAAGCTCAATGAGGTGGGTAGTTTTGCTGAAAATTAGATTGTTAGCAATTCTGCCAGTTTTTAAGAAATTGCTGTATCCCGATTCCAAATTTTTCCCCAACTACATAAAAGACCATTTGTAATTTATTTCTTATTTATTATAACCAAAAACCAAACTATTTAACAAGAATCAAAATCAATTTTCTTCTAAATGACTTTGATACCCAGATTTGTATTGTTTAAATGTGACGCTATATAGGACAATTTAAGAGGATTTAAAAATTAGTAACAAATTATCGTCATGTTTTACGAAATTGATGCTCTCTATAATAATCAAAAGCATGTTTACAAATTAAAGGTACCTAAGACTAATTAGGACGTAGATATATCCCGCATCCGGGAATAAAAACGCGATTAACGTTTGGCAGGTGGTTGAAGGTTTGTCGCCTTTCATTCGTAGAAAAAAATTATACCATAAAACATTTTAATGGAAATACATAATGTATGTACTTACCAGTATGGGGCATATTGTTTGTCTCGAAAATCTGCAAAAGAAAAATACAATTTTATTGTCACTATATCAAATTAATAAATAAATATGCATATAAAAGTATTGAAATGGTTTCCAGAAGGGCGACCGCCGGCTTAAAGGGCAGCAAAGTTTTGTTTTGGCTCGCATTAAACCCTTCATAAATATTCTAATGAGCGCACAATTTTCCACCACTTTTTTTTTTGTCGTGTAACATTCAAGGGTATTAAAATTAGTCGCTTTTCGTGGCATATTAATATATATTTTTTATTCCATATATTAAGAAAACCATTGAGAACGGAGTTGTAGAGTAACCTAAATCCAGAAAATATTTGTTAATTTTCTGGATTGATTTTGTTTCATCAACTTTTTATACACCGTTGAATAAAATAGATTTGCAACCAGTGAAAAACCTATCAAAATGTTTGACACATGAAACATACACACCTTCTATAATCTCTCCAACTGGATACAACCTTTGCAAATTTCTGGGCCTCACAAGTGATAAATCTGTCATTTTGAGAGTCTCATTCTCAATGTTCATGGAAAGGTTTCTTCGTTTTTATTATATAACATGTACGTAGAAACCTACGTACTAATATCATATTAAAGTGAATCCTATGTGAATACTAATAATATTTATGTAAAATTTACTGAACCAGGAAGCCACAAAAGTTATGGGTACGAAAATTTGTCCTATTGTAGATCTCGATTGGGGCTTCAAAATAGATTATATGGGGCACCGAACCCTAGGGCTTTGTTTTCGAGATTAGAGATTTTTCAAAATTTGAGACAAAGTATCAAATTTGAGACTCAACATCTCGAAAACTATTTGAGTTAAATAGTTTAATTTTGTTTTACCTTAAAGAGCATTTGATTCTGATTAAGAACAGAACTTGTAGAATATTGATTATGACCATAGACTTGCGAATCAGAAATCAGTAGGTAATCAGAGTTAGATCGCGATACCACGGAATTAGTATTAACTCGTTTGAACTACAACTACAATACATTATTGACTTCCTGAAACAAAAATGGACTGTATTTGCCTATCTGTCAAAGTTAAAGGTCATTCATTTTATCTTCCCTGTTTTTATGGCCCAACAAAAGAGTAAAGGTGGCTGAAAGTTCTTTTGATAATAATTATTATACCTATATGATGATTTGTCCTTTATTCCAAACCCTATCTAATGGTAAAGCTAAAATCTTTATTATTGAATATTTAGTTCAATGTACTCAACAAGTCTTTTCTGTTTTAACTTGAAACAGTTAAAACTAAAGCTGATATATTCCAAAAATAAATTTACCTAATCCACCTGGATAGTATTCAATTTCAGGGTTAAAAAGGACACTAAAAAAAATACCCACGGCTTTATTAAACCTACTACTGATTCAAAGAACCCAACCAATAATAAATCAAATAAAAGGGTAATAAATACATATCTCCGAAAAATGATCGCTCTAAATATCGTGGTACTGTGGGTATAATGGTAGTTATTATTGACAGTCATCAATATAAGGAAAAATGTTAATGACCATCGAATATTGAGGCATATTTGCGTTGTCTTCGGGTTCTCCTCATTCTCCATATTGACGAATTGACTTTTTCCTGTTCTGATCATTATAAGGAAGCCACCCAGATTGCACGGGTGACCGTAAAGAAATTTTAATAGTTGAATTATTTATGTGATTTCTCGTTGGGGCGCCCGCCTCTTATTTACTTTTGCATCAGAAATGTAATTTTTGTTTTCGAACGGATTGATATATATTCTGATTAGCCGACGACATGTATGTTATTATTATAACGACTTCTTTCGGATTTTAATACTGAGTGAATGTCAATTTTCTGATGATGATGAGCGGCAAAGGACGGCGGTACGTTTGAATAAAATAATTTTTTTTTAGTGGGATTTTAATAAAGTAAATTATCTTTAGATATATATGACTTTTGTTGAATTTGAAATTTTATTCCATTTTATTTGCGCATATACAATGATTACAATGGCATTAGAATAAAGTAGTCGCTATAGATGTATACAAAAAAGTACCTACTTGAGCTTAATTGCGAGATGAAACACTATGTTTCTGATGAAACTCTTATCACCTTCTGGCAAAACATAGAAGCTATTTGTTCTATTGTGGCATTTCCGTACTTTTAAGACATAATGTTAAATAGTCTTTTCAGTGTTGATAGTTGATAACCTCCTTTCTGTTCTGAGCAATTCATTTCAGCTAGGTATCACTCCACATAGGATATTCTCCTGCTGATTTTGTAGCTTTTCAGATCGTTGATTGCTTTCTAGTTTTCCAAATTCTTTGTTATGTGGTATATTTTCGAAATTGAACTTCAAATTTTGAACTCTATAGTCTATTCTATAGGTTACGTTAAAAGCTTTCTACATCTGAAACGATTTTGTTCTTGTTCATCTTTGTTTTCAGGTGAATGGTTTTGTTGGTACCGAGTCTTGGCTTGAGGCATTTTCTCTTCTATAACCCTTTCTATCATTACATCTTCATGTCTTCTTCGAGGGTTGTTTGTATTTATTTATGGATTTCTCTATATTCCGTTGTATTACGTTTTCTATCACCTCCCAGGACTTTGCCTCATCAATCCCTTGGTTTCAGGTTTCAGCGCTTATTATATCCTCCATTTCATTTTTCTCTATTGCTGCTTTCTTTCCTACTGCTAAAAGTTGTTCGCTTAATCTAACATTGATGTTGATTGCGTCATCTATGTCCTTCTGATTCTTCTTTCATGTATTTTTCCAGTGAGCTTCAAGATGCTTTTTTTCTGCAAGCTTGACCGCGCGAGTTTGATCTTCAGCTCTCAGAACTCTCTGATCATTCTCTGTGGTGAATCTGTTTATAATTGTATCTTTATTGATTCACCTACTATTACATAGAAGATTCTAAAATGAAGACTCGAAACGTACGTCTAAACCTTCTGACGATTCTTAAGAAAAACCTATAGGCTTCAAAGATTTTTGGTTGGAAACCCTTGAACACTTTAAAGATTTCAAAGATCTGAAGGACTTCGAATTGTTTTTAGGCTCAGAGTTGAAAACTAAAGAGAAGATTCTGAATATGCTCAGCATAAAGTTTCATTTTTAGAGATTGAAATAAAGACTTCAAAAACTGTTGATTCAAAACCTAAATTTCAAGTCTCTGCAAATAAATCTGAAGTTTCTGTAAAGACACCGAAAAATCTAGAGACTTTTGAGTAAAAATCTTGAGGGTTCTGGAATCTTCGAATTTTCGAATATCGGTATAAAGATGTCGGAGTATTTCAAAGCTCGCACGCATGACTAAAGACTCTCAATGCTTATTCTAAAGGCTGCTTGGTTTGAGTCTCTAGAAGACTTTAGTGACTCAGAGATCATAAATACTAAAGAGTCCATAGATATGGAACACTAAATGCTCTAAGATTTTGAAGAATCCAAAAGTCTCGGAGTGAGATTCACCAAAAAATATATCTATAGGTACCTACATATTGGCAAATAATGTCGGATTTTTGAAATTTCTTTGGAAAACACAAGTGTTTTTACTAAAGCTTCAACACACTATTAATTGCTCATACTATGAGTTTGTATTACTCTCACACGGTCAGATTTATGTAATACGAGCGGTTTTGCTATTATACGACAATAGAGAAACCCGAATTCTCAATCATTGGGCACTATCACCAATTGCAGACCGGTTTCGAGCTTGTTATGCTCTCACAGTGCAATATAGGCGATAGCACACAACTTAGAGAAACAGTTTTACAGGAGATTCAAACGGTAAGAAATATATAGATCTTTAATAGCTTGTGACTCCCTCTCTCCATAGTTAAACAAAGCAAAAACCCAAAACGACTCATTTAAGTCAGAAATTGAAATTGAAAATTTATTTTCAAAAATCCTGATTTTTCTAAATAATATCCGTTTAGAGAAATATGATGCTCAGACTCTAAAAAGAACAAAATATTTTGAAAATTCTGCAGATTTTAAGATTTTAAATGAACATAGACTTTAAAGATTGCTTTGTGTTGACTTTCTGACGTCATGTTTCATCAAACTCCTAGTTTGAGCACCTTTCCAAGCGTCTTTTACTCTTACAACATCCAAATTCCAAAGCTTTCTTAGTCCTTTTGGAAGGTTACTGAAGGGTATCCAGCTGTGAGTATCCAACTCAGCCCCACATTTTTTGAAAATCAAGTATATCATTTTCAGTGTAAAGAGCGAATAAAGTCACAAGGTTAAAAACTTAAGGGTAACGCATGTCATGCTCAAGTAGATGCTTCGGTGATATTTATATTACATTGATGTAAACCATATCATGCAACAAAGTTTTCCTTTTTGGGCCTTGACATGCTTTTTAAGATTAAACAAAATGGAATCATTTATCCCAAATAGTGTTCGAGATGATGAGCTTCAAACAGGGCCGTAGCGATATGACTATCCCTAGGGGGGGAGACTGAGATGCGGCGCCCCCTACACGCCGGGAAGGCGAAGAAAAATATGTTTGGTGACCACATCCAAATTTCGCCAATTTTAAGCAAATGTGGGCATAATTTTTTTTAATAAAAATAAGATCAATTATGGCCGTTTGCTCCGACCATTTTAAGGAAGCCTTAGCGATAAGTGTTCCTTAAAGTGACATTTCTCCGCGTAAAAATGTCATTTTAAGGGATACTTAGCGCTAAGGCTTCCTTAAAATGATTGGTGCAAACGGCCATTAACGTTGTATTACTAAGGGCGGGTATTTATAAAGCTATACTGACAGATAACTCAAAGTTAACTTATGGAATTACCATGAGAAGAAACGTCATTCCTGGAGTTAACTTTTAGTTATTCGCCCTTGAAAACCAAACTTATGTATTGAGTGAGACTATATCTATTACCAATCCAATTTTCGGATTTTCTTAGACAGTTTTGGGTAAAAATAATGAAGTGTACATTGTAAATTTTCAAAATAAGTACACCAAATTTTTTTAATGTTTATTTTAATTAAATTTCTTTGTTTTTGCACATTGTC